TCTTGGCACGTGCAAGCGGACGGAGAATCAGCCAAGCCAGGTCGACCAGCACTGCCGGCGCGCGCGATGCGTGCGTATACGTTTTATACACATGTCCACGATGTTAGATTGGAAAACCGATGGTGGGAACCCAATGTAATTTTTTTTCATTCTCTGGCCACAAGAGGCGATCATATGAAGGACGAATGTATGGAAACGCTTGCGACATGCATCGCGCACGCGCGCGCACGACCTGTCGCCCGCCCGCGCGCGCACGCGGGCGAGCGGCGGGCCGCTCGCGCGCGCGAAGCGTGTGCATACGCGTTTTGTATACATGCCCACGATGTTAACTTCAAAAACCGACGGTGAAAACCCAATGTAAAATTTCATTCTCGGGCCCCAAGAGGCGATCTTATGAAGGGCGAATATATGGAAACGCATACGAAATGCATCGGTTCCATAGATTCCCGCATGTGGACACATAGATTCACGCAGATAGACCCGTATACTCCCGCAAGTGGACCCGCATATTCCCGCAATGGGGGCCCATATATTCCCGCAAGGGTGACACGTGCCACCCGCGCACGCCGTTCGGTGACCTTAAAGCCCAAAGGATTCGGGTGACCCGCGCGCGCGCGCTGGCGGTCGGCGGGTCGCGCGCGCGCGCTGGCGGTCGGCGGGCCGCGCGCGCGCGATGCTCTTCGCATGCGTTTTCATATATTCGACCTTTGTATGGTCGCCTCCTGAGGCCAGAGAATGAAATTTTACATTGGGTTTTCACCATCGGTTTTTCAAGTTAGCATCGTTGGCATGTGTGCAAAAATATACACGCCCATCGCGCGCGCGCGACCCGCCACCCGCGCGCGCGCGGGCGGACGGCGGGTCGCAAGCGCGCGCGCGCGGGCGTTGGGTCGCGCGCGCGCGCGATGATGCGTGTGTAGTTTTATATGCACGCCCACGGTGTTAACTTCAAAAACCGATGGTGAAAACCCAATGTACAATTCCATTCTCGGGCCCGAGGGCAGCTCGTTTTCAAACTCTAGCTCTCGCCCCAGCGCCCGCCCGAGCGAGGTGGCGGGGCCGCACGGCAGCGCAACTGCATTGTTTGTTGTTTTTTTGTGTGGTGCGTTGCTGCCCTCACCCACGCTCGCACCAAGGATAACTGTGAGATCAGGCCACCTATGTGTGCTTCGTTTGTTTGGTGCGTTGCTGCCCTCCCCCATGCTCGCACCAGGGATCACTGGGAGACCAGACCACCTGTTTATGGTTTGTGTTCGTGGTGCGTTGCTGCCCTCACCCGCGCTCGCACCAGGGATCACTGGGAGATCAGACCACCTGTTTGTTTGTTGTTTGTTGCCGCGCTGCTGCCCCACCGCATCGCTTGAGACACCCTTGCAATCTCCCCGGGCACCCGAAGACCCAAGCGAGCCGCACGGCAGCCCCGAGACCACTGGGCCCTGGAAGGCCGAGGACCCCAGTGGACCCGCACGGCAGAGCAGACCAACACGGCAAACCAGCAAGGCAGACCAGCACGGCAGACCAGCATGGCAGGCCAGCGCGGGCAGACCAGCATGGCAGACCAGCGCGACAGACCAGCGCATGACAGACCAGCACGGCAGACCCGCACGGCAGAGCAGCGCAGACCAGCATGGCAGCACTGCAAATCCGCAGGGCAGGCCAGCACGGCAAACCAGACGGGCACGACAGGAGCACATGCCCGAGACGCCCAAGGAGCCCAAATAATACCCAAGAAAGGCGCACCCCTCACGCGGATCCGCGAAAGAAGGGTCGGGACGGGCAGTCACGACCCCCCCCCCCAAAAAAAAAAAAAACACTTCGTGCTGGAAGGGGGGGTGGTCGCGACCTTCGCTCCCGCCCGTGGGAGCCCCCGCTCGCGGACCCCGGGTGGGGGGAGGATGGGGGGGGGAGGCGGCAGCCTAGGGCTAGCGCCCGACGACGCACCCTTCACGCGGATCCGCGAAAGAAGGGTCGGGACGGGCAGTCGCGACCCCTCCTCCCCCCCAACACTTCGCGCTGGAAGGGAGGGGGGTCGTGACCTTCGCCCCCGCCCGTGGGAGCCCCCGTTCGCAGACCCTGGGGGTGCGGCGGGCGGAGGCCTGGGGCGATTGCCCATGATGCCCAGAAACTAGGCCCCAAGATGCACATGCCCCAAGATGCCCCAAGATGCCCCCAGATGTCCCAAGATGCCCCTCAGGCCCCAAAGACGCCCCAATATGCCCAAGATACGACCACCCTTGCAATCTTCCCAGACACCCGAAGACCCCAGCGAGCCGCACGGCAGCCCCGAGACCACTGGGCCCTGGAAGGCCGAGGACCCCAGTGGACCCGCACGGCAGAGCAGACCAATACGGCAAACCAGCAAGGCAGACCAGCACGGCAGACCAGCATGGCAGACCAGCGCTGGCAGACCAGCATGGCAGACCAGCACGACAGACCAGCGCATGGCAGACCAGCACGGCAGACCCGCACGGCAGAGCAGCGCAGACCAGCATGGCAGCACCGAGGGCGCCGCCCTGTCGCTCCTGAAGGTCAACGGCTTCGTCTGCCCAGGCTCCCACAGACGACCGATGTGTTTCAAGCCCGACAGCTTCGACCTTCTCAAGTTACCGTTAGCGTGGGAGATCTCATGCCCCGCGAGGTAGAGGTCCATGTGATCCAAATCCTTGATGAGTTTGCATATGTACTCGTCTGATGTGTTAGTATCAATAGCTCGGCAGCGGGGGCTGATCCTGCTTGGACGGGTCGAGATATTCACGTAGCAAGGAAACGCCAGATCCTAGCGTTCAGAAGGCCCCCCTCCCCACCGCCGCCGCCCACGCGCCCAGAACCATGATGCGACCGATGCTCAGAACACCGATTGCCCAGACCCGCCCCGCACCCAAAAAGCTACAATGTTCCAGCCCAGGGACGTTTGCGCGAAACGACATCTAAGCGAAAGTTGTCTTCCAAAAACAAAGCGAACATTTACACGTTTTTGGGGTTGGTGGGAGGGGGTGGGGGAGGGGGGGGCCTTCCGAAACCGCAGCAAGTCCTCGGCAACCTCATCGGCCTGCCTCTCGAACTCGTTGAGGGTCACGTCGAACACGTGGGGGCTGAACGTCACGTCGGTGACCAGGCTCGCGCAGCGCTTCGTGCCACCCCCACTAACAGCCTTCCCCGAGATGACAACCATCACGTCCGAAGCATCGCCCTCGCCCTTGCCTGCGCCAACCGACAAGAGGAAGTTGAACAGCCCTTTCTCCACCACGTCGAAAGCTGCTGGTACTCTGGACCTGGGTCGGTCCGCGTTTCTCGGCGATCGGGACACGCCCCATGGATCGACCACATCAACCTCCGAGAAGTCAGTACTAAAGTCACGATTGGCCCTCCTCTCGGTCAGGTCCACGTCGTACATTGCGCTGTCCGTGGGCCATCCATTCTGAATCATGGAATTGCACAGTTCGTCTGGCGTGAACGGGCTCGCGCGGCTGCCTCCCCCCCACACCAATTCATATGGCTTCACATATTCACGGGGGGCTGCCGATTGGCCATGCTGTCAATCACTGTACGCGTCCAAATAGACATCCTGGTCGCAATCTTTGAACATGCGCTTGAACTCCTCCGCGTGTGCATCGACGTCGTCTCTGCAGAGTCCTCGCTACCCCGAAGCCTTCGCGGTCTCCTTCGCCCGTGCGAGGTACTTGTTCTTCGCGAGCATGTGCGTGCTGAGGCCCAGCTTGCCCTTGTTGCCGTCATCATCTCGACTGGTCTCGACGGCGCCTGGCAACATGTTTGGGTTCGGCCTGTGCACCACGACCGCCTCCTCGAAGAACTTCTGCTCTGTTGAAAGCGCCACTGGCACAATGGCAAGCTCACTTGCTAGTCTCGGCGCGCCCTCGATCGCCATCGGCGCAGGCGCCCCATCATCAGCTAAAAGTTCCGGAAGAACGGAAGGCAAACCATCCAACAATGGAAGATAAGATACCGTCTCATTTTTCTCCGTGCTGCCGAGACGAAGGGACGAGACCAATGATGATGATACTGGGTCGTCGCCACCGTTCTTCTGGTGAACGGCGCTGAGCTGGTCCAGGAAGTGCTCACGCTCGGCGTTCACGGAGTTCCTGCCTGGGGCCCGTACTGGGTGGCGAGCAGTGTACAAGCTGTTAAGCCTTTCAATCATATCTGTCCCGCAGCAGTGAGCCCTGAAGTCGTTGCCCAACACAACCCTGCACTTCACCGACGTGAGAGCATCCGTGGAGTTGAAGAGCTTGCGAACGCCTTTCGTCTAAGAGTCGAGCATGTAGTCTGGAGCATCGAGCACTTCACGAGCTAGCAACGGCTTTTCGGCATGAGTCGATCGTTCGTGCGAAAGCTTGTACATCTTGTAGGGCCACGCACTGAAACGACTTTCGCACCGACGGGCCATCACCGAATTAGTCTTCAGTATCTGCCCCCTGCTCCATCTCGAGAATTTCTCGTCGGTCAACGGTGCGCCCAATACATTTAGGAGAAACCAAGGCCGCCTCGACGGGTCCCCAGTGTTCCAAGTGTCTAGGAGGTCCAGCATGCCCTGGCTAAACGAAGCGATGACAGAATCCGTGTCGATAAGCTTGTCTAATTTGCTCTTGTCTGCAGTCTTGTCCTCGATCGCGCCCCCAAGAAGTGGAGAGAGCAAGTAGCTGTCGGTGACCTCGAGGATCGCGCTATAAACAACCAGTTCACACATGTTGAGGTCGTCGGAGTAGTAATCCTTGACTTGAAGTACTCGTCGGAGTCCTCGTCCTCCAAGCCAATATGCTTTGCCCTTTTGCCGTCGGCGTCGTCGTCTTCTGCTGTGTTCACGAAGCAGTCAAGACCGACCTTGTGGACGACCCGACGGATCAGCGTGCGTTTGAAACTCGGCAGTAGGTGTGTCCATCGAGACTCAGACGGGCGAGGGTCTGAACTCCCATACATCGCACGTACCATTGCAACCGTCATCTTTTCAACTGATTCTGCACGCGTCTTGCAGCAAGGACGGCCTTGGGCTGAATCCCAGCAATGGTGCGTCCACGTGTCCGCACTCAGGCTCCCGTTGGCCACGACGATCAATTCTTTCAAGTCCTTCAGAAGCTGCGACTCCCCCCTGCCCTTGCCGTCCTTGCGCGGCCGTGTGTGGTGTTCGGCATTGCAGTCGTAGAGAGTGTCGGCGACCGCCTCCAGCGTGTCAGGAAATGGGCCGGCTGGCCCCACTTCCCGATGAAGTTTGTCCTCAACGGGTGTCTCGATGCCCGCGATGCACCTGGAAAGGTTGCCCCTGTATCTGGACATAGACGCGATCGAATAATGCCTCATAGTGTGCTTTCGCAGCCCCTTGACTTTTAGCTTGCCGCGATGGTGGGCATGAATGCCGCAAGTATCTGGAAAGTACAAAACCTTCTGCGCAATATCGGGGAACTGATCGGTGAGCAGGTCGCTTTGGTTAGCCCACACCTTGAGAATCGATATGTTGGCGCTGGCCCGATCGCACATTGGTTGGAATGCGAAGCTTGAGACCGAACCCAAAAGATTAGTCAAGATGTCGAAGTCTTGGCAGTCGGCCTGGGTGGGTATACCCTTCTTGGTGCCTGGCAAAAGGTCCTTCGCTTTCGTGCCGCAAACCTCCACTGGCTGAGCTAACCAATAGCGTTGATACTGCTGCCCCCTTTCCCTGTTGACGTTGGCCAGGCTCAAGTTGACGGTGCTGCGCTGCACCAGCGCAGGCATGGCAACGTTCTTCCGCATGACCCTGTACTTTTTAGATGGGCGCCATGCCTGCTTTACCTCGACCTCGTCCCACATGTGCCCGATGGACAGGTGCACTACGCGGCGTGCACTGCCTTCCCCTTTCAAGGCGCGTTCACTATTGTGCCAGACGTGGGAGGGCGCCTTCTCCTGTCGAAGCCGATGAATACTGACGGCTACCGTCTGCAAGCGTTGGTGTTTGACTCCAATGTTGAGCTTTTTCTTCAATTTCGCGAACACTGCTTGCGACGCCAATGTGAAGTCGCTTGCCTGGTGGGAACGCAAACGCACTCGGCCCCCAACCCGACCCCCAACCCACGGTAATCCCCAAGGATTGCTTGTGAGTTGGACCAGAAGGTGCGAAAACTCCTTCTCTCTATATATATATATATATATATATATATATATATATAAATAAGGAAAGGGGGGGAAACAAAAAAAATGGGGAGGTGAGTTCGCATGCGCTCCCATGCGTTGCCTTGTATTTGCGTTTCCTCCCAAGCGTAGCCCCCGACGACCCTGTAATCATCTCGGAGCCTGGTAGTAATGCCGAAATCTGCTTGATGGTGCTGGCGCGAGCTGCCTTCTGGCCCTCCAGAGGGATGGGCCATGCCCGCATGTGCTGTCATCCATCGCCCCTGCCACCACAATTAAGACGACGGTGAAGATCACAATCTCAGCCGAAATCTCAACTATGGTGGCAGGGGCGATGGGCGATAGCGAATGCGGCGGCATGCCCGCCCCAGGCACCTTCAACTGAACGCGAAGCCTGGACTTGATATTGCTGTCCCTCGCTTCCCGAGCGTGAGCTGCAAGACGACTCGACCGTTGCTCGAAACGCTCACGCTCCCGCACGACCACTTGCGCTGGCCCAGGGACGGCTGGACCAACAGGTAAAGGTAGAACTGCAAACTCAGCTAAGCCCGCAATCTGATCATCATGATGTTCCGCTGCGTCGTCGCCTGCTGGCCCCTGCTGTCGTTGAGCACTGCTGTCCTCCACGGAGATTTCGCCGTACTGCTCGAGGAATGAGTCCAAGTCGACGTCCATCGCCGATGTGTTGTAGTAGCTGTAGCCCGCGTTGGCGCCAAGCCCGCGTTGAAGCTGACGCCCGTGCCGACAGGGAAGCTGACGTGGAAGCTGCAGCCCGCCCTGACAAGGAAGCGGATATGGATGCTGTAGCCCTTCCTGACAAGGAAGCTGATATGGAAGCCGTAGCCCTTGATGACAAGGAAGCTGATATGGAAGCCCAAGCCCGTGCAAGGAGGCTGAAGTGGAAGCTGTAGCCCTTGATGACAAGGAAGTTGATATGGAAGCTGTAGCCCTAGATGACAAGGCCACTGATATGGAAGCTGTAGCCCTCGACGACAAGGAAGCCACTGATAAGGAAGATGTAGCCCTTGATGACAAGAAAGCCACCACTGATGATATGTAAGCGCAGGCGTCCGACGAACAGCTCTGATGGCGTGGGTGCACCAGTGGGATCGAGACCAAGTCCCTCTCCTCCTTGAGTCTGAGAGCAACACCACTGAAGATATGAAAGAACAGCACCAGTGCAAACAGCCAGATCATCGAGACATCGAATAAACCACCAATTGACTTGAGCCACAATGGGTACGCGTTTTAGTATTACTTTGTTGTCGGCCTCGAATGGCATCAAACCCCCCCTGGGGCCCCGAGGCCCATCAACACCATTGGGCCCTGGGAATCCCCCACGAAACCCCTATTCCGTTTGCCACCAGGCAGCACGTGTGACGGGCGTTGTGTATCCCCCCATCCTCTTCTCTCTTTCAATACCTTTCCCCTTTTCCAACCTCTCTCCCCCATCCTCGCCCCCTGCCCCCTACTCTTCAATTTCCTCCCCCTACCTCCTCATTCCCTCTTCAATGTATTGCAATTTTTGCGGGCTGCTCAACCGATTTGAATCCTTGAGAGGACAAGAGAGAAGGAAACGAGGAAAACGAGGGAGAAGGAAAGAAGAGAAAGAGAGAACGAGGAAGACGAGGGATAGGATAATGTAGAACCTAAGGCGCAACTCTCGGCGAAAGATTGAGTTGACCAGGAAATGTGCCCTCCAAGTTGTGTTGGGCCAAAATCGGAAACAAGAGTTGCCTCACCCCCCGTGCGTAGCCCAGTAGTTAAGCACAGGAGTTGCCTCACCCCCGTGTGCAGCCCAGAAGTGCAAACAGGAGTTGCCTCACCCGTTGGGTGGGCTCTGCAGAACGGGCCGATCTCTGACCCCCAGCTGCACTCAAACCCTAACTGGCCAGCAGCGCGCCTTTGCCGCGCACCATCGCCATGAATCCTTGCGGCCATCACGCCGACGAAGAGCAAGGGCGCCGCCGCCTCGCGCATAGGCTGCAGCGCGCCAGCCGTCCGCGACCAAGAGCTGGCAGCAGCTGAAGCCGTTGCTAGAACGCCGCCAGCCAGGAGGGCGACCCAGCGCGCCTCGCCGAAAGCAGAGGCCCGCTGGCGGTCGCTGCCCGTGCGCAGCAGATACCCGGAGTGGCCGGGGGGCGGGCGCCGGCGGCTTCAGCCGCCGGGGGCCCGCAGCACCGGGCGCCAGCAAGCGGGCCGGCGCGAGGCGGGACCTCGAGAAGCACCTGCCAACCAGTAGCCTCAAGGAGTAGCCGAGAGCGGGAGGACGGCGACCGATCGACGTAAACGCAGGAAACGAGGAGCGATGACTGCAGGCGCGGCAGCTGATCGCTTCACATGAAAGGAGGAAGAGAGAGGTGGCGAAGGTGAACCCCAGGAGCAGCTAATCGCTGCAAACGCATGGACATTGGAAAATTGGCGAACGTGGACAACCCCAGGAAACAAGGCCAGGAGAAGAAGAGGAGCAGCTGAACGTGGCAGGTACCGCAAGGCGAGGCAGCTGATCGCTGCAAATGCAAGAGAGGAGAATCTGACCGCTGCACAAGCGCGGACTGTGTAAACGACGAGCGTGGAAGACCCCAGGACACAACGCCAGGAGAGGAAGTGGAGCAGCTGACCGTTGGAGATGCGCGCTGCGTAGGAGATGAGAAGAAAGAAGGCCAACACCAGCTATCAGCCAGTCCTGCCGCATGCTGGGTTGCGTCGCAAGGGTAGTCTGTCGGCGGGACCCACGGGCGGTGCCTCTTTCTGGTAAGTGGCCACCCCATTTGGAGCTGCGCTTGCCCTGCTTGCCGTCACTCGCGTCGGAGGCGTCCGCACAGTCATGGCCTTTACAATGTCGCCTGGCATCGCCTCGACCCTTGTCATGCGCCCTCGTCGCGCATGCGCGAAAATTGCGCTGAGCCCCAGGTGCTGACTGAGCTCTCAAGCGCCGCGGCTGCAGAGGTCCCAAGCGTCCAGGAAAGCTTCGCAGGTACGCCAGCTCTGCTCCAGCGCGCTTAGAAGCGAATCCAAGCGAAGTTTTGTGGCGCTCCGCCCAACGGTGCCCAGCAGTGCAACACCGAGCTCAGTCTGCATCCTCTCGATGAAGTGGCGGTCGTCCTCGAGCTTGCCTTGCGCTTCCACCAGGTGCGAGGGCGTCCTGTACATGTGGCTACTGTCTGGGGCGCGACGGTCGCTCGTCGCGAGTGGGTCGGCGGCTCTGTCGCGCCATTCACCGCGATGCCACATCCCGCTGGCGCGGTCGCTTTACGGGTGGCTTGACCAGGCGGACCCGCGCGCCCGCGCGTTGTCGCGCGCGCGCTCCAGCTGCAGCCGCGGTCAGCCCGCCCGACGATGGCGCAACCATGCGCGCGCCCCGCTTGCTTGGGCCCGCTCGCAAGGGCTCCGTGGCAGCCCACTGCCGGGGCCCTGGCTGGCCAGCCTCGGGAACCCATTGCCTGTCGCGGTCTCCAAGAGCCTGGGGCTACCAGCGGTTTCCGTTCGTCAGAAGAGTCGCGGCGGCCGCTTGCCCTGTCAGAGGCGCTGGTTGCGACCGTGCGAGCTGGAGCCTTCCCGAAGGATCCCTCCTCGGCGACACACGCGGGCGCGGGGGGGTCACTGTCCGTCGGCAACTCGGGGCCCATTCGCGGCACCTCAGTGTCTGAACCCTGAAAGACGATCGAGGTGCCCTGGCTCGCCGGCCCCGCGTCTTCGCCCATTGTTGCTGCCGGTCTGGCCTCGGACCTTAGCGCCTGAACCGTCTCGTGTTCTTCTCCCGGCGTCTGCCACGGTCGCGGGCGCCCGGCTCGGCCCCGGGCGCTGCGCCCGCCGCCGCTCCGTCACACCGCTTGGCCCGGGCACGAAGAGACGGGCCATCCTGCGGAGGTCCGTCTGAGCCGTTCGCCGTCGGCGCCGGGCCCACCCCCGAGGCGACCGACTCAACCTGCTTCACCACGTCGTCGGTGAGCAGCGACGGGTTGAGGCTGGCGAGCCAGTCGACGAGCGCGTCGATGCGATGGCGCGCAGGGTCGGCGCCCTCGCGGGGCGCCTTCCTTTTGGCGCAGTGCCCCCGGGAGCCCAGGAGAGCCTCAGCAACTGTCCCGCTGCGAGGCGACGCACCAGGCAGGCTGCGGTCCAACGCCCGCCGCACCAGGCGGTACTGGGTGGGAGTCCGTCGTTGGTGATGGTGACGTCAGAGAGCGCGCGGAGGTGGGCGCAGGCGAGCTCGCGCCCCCAGACACCCTGGCTCTGGTCTTCCGGTTTGGGGCCCTTCTGCTGCGCCAGGCCGGCCCAAGCGTCGTCAGCGGCCGGGTCGAGGCGACGGACGCGCTGGCCCGGTGCACAGGAGACGTCGTCGTCACATCTGCGCAGTCGTCGCTTGCCGCTTGCACGGTGGCCTCGACCTGCCTGCACTCCAGATCCGGACACGGAGGAGGAGCGAAACAGAGCAGGATATCGAAGACGCGCGCGAAGCGGGCGAAGTCGCTGCCGTCGGGGGGGCCGGGGCCGGGCTGAGCCACGCTCCCAAGTCGGTTTTCGTCCTCATCCTGCTCTGCTGCCGCGCGGGCCCGGCCTAGTTCCTCCCGCAGACCGTCGCCAGCCCTGGGCTTGGGCCTCGCCGGCCTATTATGCGGGATGGGGAGGCACATACAGATTGTGTCTCTGTCAAGGATGCCCCTACGAACACTAGGCAAGATGTCCCAGATGTGAACCAGGCAGTTGCGGCAGTCCCAGGACGCGTCCCATCACCCAAATGAACAGCATCCCACCCAGCGGCCCAATTCAGGAAGGCCGCATCTGTCATCGCACCCCTGGCCTGAGCTCGGCCACCAAACGAAGGAGCCACGAGCTGGGCGGCCAGGCCCCCACACCGGCTCCACGGGCTCGCCGACGCAACTGTCGCAGATGGCGGAGTACAGCCCCTTGTCCGCGGAGATGGTACCGAACCGATCGTCGATGGGTCGGCAAGGGCGGAATGGCATATGTGCTGGATCGTCCGTACCTGAGGCCTCCAGGAGCAGCTGGGCCAGCAGGTGTTCCCTGCCTGGGTTGGGCACCTGGCCCCGTCCATTCGGCATTCGCGGGGGCTTCGAGAGGACGTGCTGACCAACAACCCTCGCGAGGCGATGTGGTCCTTCTGATACGCGGCAGGTTTGTCCTTCACGTTGGGCCCAGCGGGGACCTCGGAGCCTCTGCTCTCCAGGTGACGCACCCAGCACCAAATGTAGAGCCAACGACAGTTGAGGCCGCCGTTGAAAGCGAGCTCCTGGTTCTGCGCCATGAAGGAGCGGATCTCATCGCCCCCCCAAATGGGCAATGAATGATTGCGCATGGCCTTTTCTTGCACTGGTCACAACATGCACGTTCGACGTTCGTCCTTTTGCTCATTGAAGAACCGCGTCTCCAGGCGCAAGCGTTGGGGGAACGAGCTGGACGCCAGGTGCTGCGCCGAGGAGCGAGGGAGCAAGAAAATTGGCGTTGCTAATGGTGGTGCATCCGCCGATGCACTGGAGGTCGTCGCCCCCTGCATTCCCCAAGCGCGCGTCGTTGCCCGCTAGATTGGCGCGAAGTGAGCAGACCGCACACTTGGCAGAGGCGAACCCGGTGAGCTTAGCTGGGACGACCAGCGCCTCCAGGACCATAAGCGTGGAGCGCCTCGGCCCAAGTCTGTGGGCAGCCAGCGTCCTTGGCGAGTGGGTGATGATGACTTACTCGCACCAGGCAGGCAATGTGCCGCAGGGTGTCTTCAAAACGGTCATGCAGGTGAAAGAAGTCGTCCTTCGCTGAATGGGATACTTTTTGGTCGGCGGCTCCAAGGCAACGGACAGGGAACGGAAGCGGCGCCCGGGTCACGGCACGGGGCTACTTGCAAGACAAGTCGCCGCCAGCCGGAATCGGCGGACAGACAGCTCGCACCTGCACATGCACTGAACAAAATGAACAGAATTCGAAAGGCAAACGCTCATAGGCGCAGCAGCCCAAGCCACAGTGGGCAGGCCGCCGCGCGCGGATGCTCCGAAGTGAGTCGCCAGTGCGGCGCCAGACTTCCGCGGCCGACCTGCACATGCCGAACGGCAGAGCGGCCGGGACCAGAAACAGTGCGCGACAGAAGGGAAAACCAAAGGCTGCATTGGCGTCGCAGGCTGAACCACTCAGCGCCCAGTCCTCAGTTATCCGCACCACAGCGCCGAGGGGAGAGCCATGCGACTGCGCCCAAGGTGCGACCGCGCGGCGCCGCCTCAGGAAGCGGGGAACTCCGCTGGCGTGGGAAGCACCGCCGTCGGATGGTGATGGTCGGCACGCGTGGTGGTGGTGTCGTCTGCGCTGCCTGCCAAGGGGGTTCTGCTGCCGTGAAGCTGAGGTGGCCAGCGAACCTAGACTGTCGCATGGCGCTTTCCCCTGAGCCCTAGCGCCAACACACACCACGCGCCCTCCCCGGGCCGTGGAAACTGTCGCTGGGGGTGCAGAGCAGGACCACGAGCAGCACGGACCACGGCGCGAACAGGGAGGGGGGGGTCTCAGCACCAAAACAAGTGCAGCGTCGGGCGAGCCCCAGAGCCACGGGTGGGGGACACCCACCAGGCCTGGGAGGGGAGAGGCGAGGGGACGCAACGCCTCCCCCTACGGCCAGGTACCCTGCAGCCGTGGGCCAGGGGCCGCGGCCTGCCACTTGGATCGTCCTGGGATTCGCAGCTACTCGCCGCTAGCACTTGCATGGGGGAAAGGGGGGTCGCAGCTAATCGCCGCTAGGATTTATTTTACACATCGAGGGGGTCGCAGCTAATCGCCGCTGAGGTCTCTGTTGAATGTGTGCGAACGGGTGACGGCCCACTGGGGCCGCAGTCAACACGGAGGACGTGGGCCAGCAGCGAGATCCGCCCCCGGAGGTGGGTCCTGGGGAGACGCAGTTACTCGCCGCCGGAACCGAAACTGCCAAAACTGTGGCCTGAAGTAACGGGCCGGAAGGCTGGCGCGCAGGGGGGGGTGCTTCTGCTGGCGCCCCCCTGTCACCGGAGGGTGAGTGGCTGTCGCCGTTGGACAGCAAAGTGGGCGGCCCCGGGACCGGTCAGTCCAGCGGGCTGGCCCCCTGATGAGCAGGGGGGTGAAATGTCAGGGATGGGTCCACGTATCCAGCGCGGGCTGTCTAGCTATGCTGCGCCTTGGGTGAGATGTCGGGCGACCTCCGCCCCAGCGGACGTTGCCCCAAGGTATTACGGCCAAGGCCGGGCGCTGCGAGGTGAAACAGGCCCCGACGGGGGGTGGAAGGTGGTGAGGGGGACGGAATCCGCTGGCCAGGAGGGCCGGGGGTGCGGTGACAGGTTGGCCGGGCCCTGCTAGCCCTGGGCGTAAGAGTCCTCCCTAGCCCACCATCGGGCGCGCTTGTCCGTGTACCGGTCGTCCCCCCTGGGGGAATACCGCTTACCCTTTCCTTTCCAGTCCGCGTCCGTCCATGGGGCATTTTGCTGGCCCTGGGAATTCCACCCCTGCCAGTCCTGCCACTGGCCGGGGGTGGCTGAGCCGATGGCGCCTGCCCATCGGTCATGCGCGGCTGCAGCGGTGGCTGTTCTGCCCTCTGCTGCCCGTGGGGCGGGTCTGCTGTTGCTGTCGTGATCGCGTTGAGCGTGCGCACGGGAGTCGCGGTGCATGAGCTTCATGTGCTTGTCCTTGACAGAAGCCCAGTGGACGTTGAGCCATAGCTCACTGTCCATCTTATAGGCGTCGTACCCTGCGTCGCTCCATGCCTGGAGGAATTCGCTGCACGACTGGACTGTGTTCAGTTTAGGGTTGTGCTTTGGCTTCCGCTGAGCACCTGTCTCAGGGCAGCCCTCTTCACCCATGCGGCCCAGATTCCATTGAACGCTCCTCCCAGCGTCTTTTGCAAGCGCATTATCTTATCCTGCACCGGGTCCTTCCTCGCAACGTCTGCAGCTGCAACGGGACACATGTACATGGGGATGCCTCCCATGGGATCGTTTGGGTCTTCGCGGGGCGGCTGCGTGGTCCTTATGTCCTTCCAGGGCGCCTCGTAGATCTCCACTCGCGCGGGGTTGCCTCTTGGAGATTTGGTGGCACGACCTTCTCCGTCCTTGGTGTCACCCCACACGGGCCGTTGGCGGCCCTTGTCCCCGGTCGCGCGGCTGAGGGCGCGGTCGCCCCTGGCGCCGCTGATGCTCCAGGTAGAGCCGCTTGCTCTTTGTGGGCTGTCTCTCGCCCTCCTAACTTCACGGATGGCGCCCCGATCTACGAACGGGGCCCAGGCATCGGGCCCGCTGGGCGGGTCCTTGAAGAGGTTGAGGGGGTCGGAGAAGCCCTCCTCCTCTCCATCGTCCGCCACAAGGGTTGGGCTGACCGCCGGGCTCGTGTCTTTGGCTGTGTCTGACTCGCTTTTCTTGTCTTCGCCCCAGTCGACCCCTTCCGGTTCGCCATCGTTTCTGCATGCCTGGTTGGGCGGGCCTCTCCCTTCCGTCGGAGGACCGTCTCCCCCGTCGGCTCCTGTAGCGCGGGGGTTTGCTCTGGGAGCGTAGTCAGCAGTGTCCTCCAGCACAGGTCCGCGGCTGTCTGTTTGGGGGGGGTCTGCGGTTTCGCCTGCTCTGTTCTGCCAGGCTGCTGCCGGGGATTCGGCCGCCGCTGTGGAGCCTACGTCTGCCTCGCGTGGGCCTCGGTGGGCAAGTACGCTGATGGTTCCGTAGGCAAGGGCGGCGCGGTCGATCCCCATGAGGTAAATCAACAGTGTGCTGATCCGTTGGCGAAGGGGGCACTGTCCTCGCTGCTCGGCCAGGTTGTCAGCGTAACTGCACCACATGTCCTCGTACCTCTCGTTAGACTCTGTTCGTTGGTAAACCATCCGTGCCACTGCGGCCCGCTGCCCGCCCCATGGGATGTTGGGGGGGGGGCAGTTGCTCGGGATCGTTTCCCCGTAGATTATGCCCAGGAAAGGGCGAAGACGCGCAGGGGGCCACGATCCTTCATCGGTCTTGTCACCCGTGATCCCATCACCGTGTTGCAGCACGAAATCAGCCCATCGTTTGTAGACAGAGTGGTTCCATTCGAGCAGGCACTTCACCAAGCAGCGCATGGGGCCGTCGGATTCCACCCCGGTGAGCCTGGAGGTGGAGCGGGCTGGCAGAATGGGGCCCTCTGGCGGGGAGACGTCGGGGAACACGGATTTGATGTCACGCGCAGCATTCCCTGGCTCGCTACTTCCCCCTACTCCGCTGTCGTGCTCCACGCCGTTGGGGGTAGGCTCGTCCCCGGTGGCTGTCTGCCTTGAGCACGCGTCCTTGGCATCTGTATTGACGCTACCTGGGGGGAGGTAGACACTAATATCGCGGCTGTCCGTTTGCACTTCCGCTGCTGCTGCGCGCTTGGCTGGTGCCGTAGGGCGGGCATACACTGGAGAAATGCCGGTCCAGGATGCGGTCGAGCGTGCCGGGTGCCACGTTCCAGATGTGGATGAGGCACCGTCTGCAGGCCCACCCTGCGTTCCACTGCTGCTGGGTCCAGAGCGTGGGCATGGTGTCCCATGGCGGTAGCCCTGTCTCGGTGTTACACGGCGCTCCCGGCTCCACATGAAGCAGCCAAGGGCGGGGCTGGTTACCGACCACTCGAGCAGGGGCGACCCCGCAGGGCAGGTGTCGCACTTGGCGGAGTAGGTGTTCGAGCGGTGCGAGTCGGGCCCGAATCTCCCGTCGGACAGCTTGTGAGCTGGTGGGGCGGCGCCGACCGACTGCGGCCTGTAGCGGGGGGGGGGCTCATGACAAGGTCACGCAGGCTCGTGGGGGTCCGCGCTGTGTCGGACCGGCCATACCCACTTGGGAGTAACTCCAGGGACGGGAGAGAGCGGGACTTCTTCTTGTAGCGTGCCTCGTCCAAAGTGCGCTTGCACGCCTGTAGGCGCTGCTGGAGCGACTTCTTGTTGCCGCAGTCGCGCGCGGCTAGGGGGACCTCGATGCCCCTCCTTTCCGGTGACTTGACCCAGCACTGCTCGCAGAGCCACTTGCAGTTTTTGCCCTGCAGGTACGCCTGGGAGCGGTTTTGTGCCAGGAGTTCCCTTGTG